CAATCTGAATCTCAGCAGTAGTTTCTATCTATGATTCTATCAGGAAAAAGTCTGAAACTGTCCACATGATCAGCACATCAGTGGTCACCAATCACACTACAAGAGACATACAAATTCTTAGGAGCCAAAGGTTCTGCAAGGGCCAAGCTCTGCTCCTGTTTTTTTGGTGTAATTCCAGAATGCGGTCCTCATAGTAGAGAAGCACATGAGACACAAATAAGTTTCTACTATAAATTCAGTTTTGACATGTTCCACAAACAAGAATGCTAATGTTGTCTCAGCAGATGTGTAAAAACATATGGTCAATCAAGAAGGGTTGAAGGAGGTGCTATTTTGTTTTCAAAGTTGGTCTAGTCAAGAACTGTTTTAGTATGGATATCTTATGTTCAGTAGTAAAGACAGAATGAAGAGAGGTATTGGAAAATCTGCTCTTTTACACTGCACAGAACTTTAAGAAATGCAGAGTTCCTTGTTGTGCCAAGCATCACTTTCAAAGCATGATGTGAAAATGAACAATTCTCTCCTCAATAAGGTAACTAATATGATTAACCCACTACTATTTGTGCAGATATTAACTTAAAAATAGGTAAAAGAATTGACATGGATATTGTCTGTACTAGTTGTGTAAAGTTAACCATTTTATTTGGACTATTGTATTTATACTTGAATTCACTTAAAAAGTACTTTGGAAATTATCAAAATTTGTGTCAAGCTTAACAGTAAATTGCGACTTACACAGAAGTGCAGTTTTGTTCCTGCATTCCTCCACAATTTCGCCCTTCCTTTCAACTGCTTACATTCAAGCAAAATAGGTAACAACCATATGCATAAATCTTCATGAAGGTTTTTATTAACCAAACTAACTCTTTGTACAAGCAGTTCAGTAGTTCTAGTTCATCCATGGCAGAATTTGCCTTTTGCTTTTCTTAAAGCATAACTTTCTTAAAAAACTCTAAATTTACTCAGTTTCCTTTAAGCCATCACACAAAACTAATCAGAACAGTAGAAGAGACTCCAGGTTCACTGTGTCCAATTTTCTGAAAAATAGCAATTGTTGCTCTGACAAGAAAATTTCTTGCTGTTCCACTTTAGAAAGTTAAAAATAACAAGATACAATTACTGCAAGGAACCCCCCTCAGGAAACCTGTAATACCAACTAACATAAGTTACTGGTTTGGAATATAAAAATCAATTTATTTCCCTGCTATTAATGTCTTCCTCATTATTCTTCCCCTAACAGAGTGCATTCCAACAGTCTAAATGGCTCAACTGATAATTTGTGGGAAAATTCCTTTCACATAGGTCTTTCTTCAAGAACTGTCAAATCCTAATTCCTAAATAAAGCAAAAGTTTGTGGTGATATCAGTGCCATAGCCAGAACTGCGACCCTTTTGCTGAAGCAAGAAGAGATTTTGATACATTCAGTTATCCGATTTTTCCCTTTTATTTCACAGCTAAAAGTTTAATTTAACTACTAAGACAGTACAACATGTTAGCGCTGCTGCATAACTATCTTTGCGAACCACAATAGAAAACTAGGCTTCCCTCAACAACTCCACAAGAAAGTCTCAAGGAGTACTGAAATAAGGAACAGTTTAAAAAGAACAGTCTACTGAAAAGTATTTCAGCTTGTGTCCTTTGACACAAGACACATGTCAAAATGCAGAAATTTAAAGAATGACTCCTCCATATTAAAAAGAAAAGTCTTTGAGTTTTATTCATTAAATCTGCAAGTAACTATAAACCTTCAAGGCTCTGTGTCATGTATGCTCAGATCCAAATAAAATTCATTGAAGCACACCATTGTATGTTATGCAGCTTGCAGAATGAGGGTATGTAAATGTGAAGAAACACGAATTTCTAACAGCAGCTGTTGCCTTTGCATGCTTATCAGAGAGATCTTCAGTAGAAGAACAAGTTTTATCAGAAGGGACAGTAACTCATAGATGAGCCAAAAAAGAGAAAAAAAAAGATACAAACCATACACACATCTGCCAACAGATCTTAGCTTTGATCAAGTAACAAACTCTCACTGAACATGCTACAGTGAACAGTCTGATACCCAATAGCTGCAAATCACATATTATAAATTGACGCTATCTGGCACCCTTTACTGACAGTCTACAGAAAGAAAAGAAAACCTCTGGCAAAAGAAATTAATTCCCACAATAGCATCTGTTGCTTTAGAGCCCACAAACAACTCCACAAGTCTGTCAAATCATCCACCATAGTACCATATTATACTTCTCACCTATTTATACTGCTATCATAGAAGCGCTTCCCTGTCTTTTGCTCCTGTCTTGAGATGACATAATTACCTATGAGGGCCATAGCTGACACAGACTTTTACTTAAGAACCTAAACAGGTAAATGAAGATACTACACTCTTACAGGATTAAGGAAGACACAGAAAGTATGGAGAATGAAAGACAAGGAGTGGTAACATAAAAGGAGGAAACTGGAAGAAGTTCTGAAAAATAGAAGTGCATCCCTCTCCTCAAACTGCTTGGGAGATGTGGCATGCTGGCTATGGGCAAGATACAGACAATGACAGTACTGTGAGAAGTGCTCTTTCTGTTCATGGAGAGAAGAGGAAAAAAGTTGGTGTCTTTCACCAACACCACACAATCTCCTTAGTATTTCTTAACCTCTCCCTTATAGTTCTGAATGCAATATAAAAATCACATTCAAGACTGGACATAGCTGTGATATGAACCGAAAGAGGGAGGGGAGGAAACCCTGCAGTTAAATGACTTTGGACATGTGTAAGACTAAACACTGATAAGTAGAAGATAATCCCTAACCACTCTCTCCACAGATCTCCTCTCAAAGTTGAAGGTTTGCTGGTGAAGTTATTAGGCAAGGTTCTTTAGTTTGTGTCAGGTGACAAGGTAAATAGAAGGCTAATCCTTTCAGGGTTTTTTTCAGTTGGGTTTTGGGTTGGGTTTTTTTTACATCTACAAAACACATGCAGCAGGGTAAACATGTCTCAAAGTGAGAGTAACTACCTTTAATCTTTAGTATGTATTCTAAAATAATGATTGGCTAAAAACAAATTAAGGATTACTTATATATATATAAAAGGATATCTATTTTATGTTTTCATACCCTTTGAGTGAGTCTGAACATCTTTCATGCACTTCATCTTAAAAGCAGCCTCTTCTAACTATGAGTTACTAAAATCTAAGACATTTTTGAGGGCTGAATTATTAGGAATACTATTCCATTGGCCAGGACTTCTTATAGGGCTAGTCTTAAAGGACTTGGCAAAAGAGCAGTACCTGCTTTGTACTTACACTTGCGGCAGAAATACTTTTTTAAAATAGGTCAGCAGTAGTTGGATAGTAAACTTTTTTTTTTTTTATGGAACTTCTTGTTGCACAGAAATAAACTTGATCAAGATCAAGTCTGTCAAAAGTGCTCATTAATGGGCAATTATTTTTGCATATTGCTGCTTCTATTGTACATTGTAAACCCTGATTTCCTATTTTATGCCAACTGATTTTAAAGGATTTTATAGTACGCATAAGATGTGGTACAAATTAACCTTTGATTTTACATCTGTTGTACATGAAAAATAGCTACACAAAATAAAAGTTACAGATGTTCTTCTTACTTTACTCACGGCTTGTGTCAACTTAATACAGTAACAGCCTCCACATAAAGAACCTGCCAAGAACTTTACAAAGGTGGGATATATAGATGAGAGTACATGGTCCGCACAACACTCACCTGTAATCACTACTCTCAAAACATTCAAAGAATGTTCTTGGAGTAAAGTGTATATAGCACTTTTAATACAGGTCTGGATTAGACACAGCCTCATCTCAAAGTCAGCTGGTTTATCTACCATGTCAAAAGTTTATCATCCCAGTCCTAATTTGTATCCCATTTCTAAAGGAAAGCTGTCAAAATTATAAAAATCAACTGACACTGACCACCCAGCTTGAAACCTCTGGCTGGCAGAATGTGCAGGTTTTTAAGATATTCAGGACTCTTAATATTATATTGAATAAAAAAACCTCCAAAACATATTAACAATCAATTAATCAATAAAATAAGGCACTATAAAGCCTTAAAACTAATTTTAGTTGTCTTGCTCTACCACACTAAATTCCATTACCTAGTTTTCCACAGTAAATCTCAACATGCAACCACAGGCTGAAAAGTGCTTTAAGACACTCTGAAAAAAAGCCAAATATAGGAGCCAGATAGTATAATCACCAGGCAAAGATACAAATCAGCCATAGTACCATGCTCCAAAGAGCAGTGGCTGGAGAAAAGCTGTTTAACTCACGACCTTTGACAGTAACACATGGCAAAGGTGATGTTAAAACACCCCAGTGAGCACATGGGTGATGCTTTTCAAGTACCACAGCTACTTCTTCCCTCCAAAGGCCTTTTAGAACTAAGTAACTTAACATCGGTAACAGCAATCAACACGCAGTATACAACACCCTTTCACCAAAGAAACTTGGTTTGGAAGAAAACACAATTTAGAAGCTAAATGAATGCAGAGGACAAATGAGTTCTGAACTCAGTGCAAGCGGTTTTCTTCATTCTACCCCGCATCCCCGTCTTTTAAAATTCGCTTAAATGTATTTTTGTTGAGTGGGTTCCTGTTACTTAAGTATACGTTATTTTTGTTTGCCGCTTCATCCCGTAAGTATCCCGGGTCTGAGGGTCAGAGATTAGACATCATCTGGATGCGGAGATTTTGTTTACGAGCAAAACCGCCATCGCTACCAAGCAGGGAAAAAAAGCAGCCACGGGAAGAAAAAAAGCGGGTGAGAGGAAAACCAGGAGAAATAAATTAAAAGCGGAGAAAGGAAAGGCGGAACTCTGGAGGAAGCGGGAATTGGAAAGGAAGGAGAAGGGAAAAAAATAAACCCCACAAAATCAAACAACGAAAAGGAATGAGGAGGGGCAGGCAGAAGGGGGCTGACCCTCAGAAAGCCTGTTCTTAGCCCAGCATGAGGAGCAAGCTCCAGGAGGAATACCTGGACTACTGCCTGCCACTGCCGGCGAATCCCACCACAACTCGTCCAGCGCGTCCCCCATACTGCAGCCGCTACTACCGCCACGCGGGGAGCGGGAGGCGGAGCAGCGCGCGGACACCGCGCCTGCGCACAGGCACCGCCCGCCCGGCGGGAAGGCGGGACCACCGACAGGGGAATCGTCCCTGCAACCCTTTCCGCACCCCCGTGACCCCGTTTGAACGCTTGTGGCATCCCGAAAGTAATCGGTTAGCACGAACCACCTCCCCTTGGGACCAGCGACCTAAGCTCGTGATACTCTTGTGCTGAATTAAGGTGAAACGACACCAACCAACCAGTTTTATGATTTATTAATGCAAAATACAAGACACGTCATTAGATAAAATAACTGAACAATGACTACTTTAACTCGATAAGCAAGTGTTGTGCCATGTGTTTTTACTTAGTTCTAGACAATATTCAATAAAAAAAAAAAAAAGAGGAGAAGCAGTGCTCACACTCAGTGAATCTGAGCACAGTCTCAGCCACTGGGCAACTCGAGAGTCACCCAAGTTGGAAAAAGCTGGCACAACCCAGAATTTCAGACCAAGAATCTGGTATTCATTTTACATTTATAATCCAGATTCTGACAGAAGCTCTTTTCTGATGCCTGGGAAGGCATTTACACCCCTCTAGACATACAAGCAGCACACACAACTATTTATAACTATTTTTAGCAGGGCCTCTTGCGATAGGATGAGGGTAATGGCTTTAAACTAAAAGGGGAAGATTCAGGCTGGATGTGAGGAAAAAAAATTTTACAAGGGTAATCAAAACTGGCACAGGTTGCCCAGAGAGGCGGTGGGTGTGCTATTGTCCTGGGTTCAGCAGTAGCAATCATGTTTCTCCTTCTTGGTAGCTGGTGCAGTGCAGTGTTTTGACTTTCGGCCTGGGAACAGAGCTGATAACAAGGATGTTTTGGTTTGGCCAAGGACTTTGTGAGCCTCATGCTCTGCCAGGGAGGAGGGGAAGCCAGGAGGAAGCAGAGACAGGACACCTGACCCAAACTGACCAAAGAGGTATTCCATACCACAGCACGTCATGCCCAGGAGATAACTGGGAGTTACCCGGAAGTGCTGGGAGACTGTGGGATTGGAGGAGGTATCGGTCAGAGCTTGGTCGGGCTGGGGGGGTGAGTTATTGGTCGGCTGGTGGTGAGGTGTTGTATTCTCTTCCCTTGTTATTTCCTTTATCATTGTTATTATTGGTGGTAGCAGTAGTGATTTGTGTTATACCTTAGTTACTAAACTGTTCTTATCTCAACCCATGGGAGTTGCATTCTTTTTGATTCTCCTCTCCGTCCCTCCAGGAGTAGGGGGAGAGAAAGAAGGGGGGGAGTGAGTGAACGAGTTACCTGACTGGGTTTAAACCATGACAGCTATCCCTGGAGACATTCAAGGCCAGGCTGGATGTGGCTCTGGGCAACCTGATTCAGTTGAAGATGTCCCTGCTCATTGCAGGAGGGCTGCACTAGATGACCTTTGAAGGTCCCTTCCAACCAAAACTATTCCATTATTCTAAGAGAGAAAGAGAAAGGGAGAAAAAGAGAGAAGTATCACCACCAGCAATGTCTCAATGGTCCTCTTCACCCAGGGTATTCTCATTCGTGGGAGCTCACCCTCTGACCTAAGCCTTGCCCTTTTATGCTCATATTCTTTGGAGTGCTATCCATAATTTGCATACGAAGTATAGAGAGGAGAGGTGTTACTATGATAATGATGGGCATAATTTAGTGAACACATACGCAGTTCCAAAGTTGGGGTTCTGTGAGGGTGGTCATTGGCCCTCATATTGTGGTGTCTACTATTTGACTCCATCCTTTGAGTCAGCTCTAGTTAAGCATTTTTTACATTCCTGTGGTGGCTTATCAGCTTCAGAAAAAGGGGTCACACCAATCCTGTCTATGCAGTTTCAAGAGCTAACATCCTTGATGTTTGCTTCATTTGTGCTAATTCATGCAAGGCCTCCCATGGTCAAATGCAAATGGTGCCTGAGATAAGCTCAGTTTTCTGATTCTCACCCCAACCCATGGCTCAAACACTGCTGGGCTCAGTACTGGATGTCTTCGTCCACAGTGGTTATAGGTCCATATAATCAGAAGAAAGTATAGAAGAAGCAGAAAAAATACATGTAATTGTATATCACACGGTAGCTATGCCATTAACAATATCTTCTTTAAAAAAAAAAAACATCCCTAAAGTTAATTCTACAAAACTGTCCTTGGTCCAGCTATAGCAGTCATTTTTCTTCTTCTCAGTAGCTGGTGCAGTGCTGTATTTTTGGCTTTCACTCTGAGAACAACACTGATAACACTAATGTTTTTAGTTGTTGCTAATTAATGTTTACTCTGACCAAGGACTTTCTGAAGTCTCATGCTCTGCCAGGGAGGAGGGGAAGCTGGGAGGAACCAGAGACAGGACACCTGACCCAGACTAGCCAAAGGGGTATTCAATACTACAGCACATCATGCCCAGTATATAAACTGGGGGCAGTTACCCGGAAGGGATAGATTGCTACTCTGGTGGGGCTGGCTATTGGTCAGCAGGTGGTGAGCGGTTGTATTCCCTTCCCTTGTTATTTCCCTTATCATTACTGGTGGCAGCAGCAGTGATTTGTATTATACCTTCATTACTGGACTGCTCTTATCTCAACCCATGGGAGTTACATTCTTTTGAATCTTCTCTCCATCCCTCCAGGAGCAGGGGGAGGAAGAAGCAGGAAGAGTGAGCAAGCGGCTGCGTGGTTCTGAGTTACCAGCTGGGCTTAAACCATGAGAAAAAAAACAAAAAGTTTGAGGACTATGGTGCTGGGAGATCAGAGGAAGGTGACTGTCCAAAATGGCAATCACAAGGCAAACAAACACATACTAAAATAATATTTACAGCAATAATTAAAAGAATAATTGATCCAATATGAACTAACAGACTGTGTATGACATTCTGTCCTTTCTAATTATGTCTCTTCTGGTGGTAGAATTCACCAGTGGCTTCATTGTCTATGTGGTGACAGTGGAGTACCTTTTTGTGTTATTCCTGGGTCTCCAGCAATGCAAAGATGGTCACAGTTGTCAACTGTAGCTCTTGTGGTCAATGCAGAGGCTGATGGCCATGCTTCCCTGGTCCACTGGGGCTGGGATTCACATATGCAGCAATTAAACAGATTTCCACACAGTCATGGTTTAAACCACGACATCATGTCAGTGAGGAACTACCTCTGGGGGGACCTGGGTGGCACGTGCATGGTTTGGGACTGGGTACTCTCATCATGGATTTTTTCCTGCCTTGCAGTTTGGCTGTTTTGTACCCACTAAGTTTCAAGTGGGTCTTCTAATTATAGTATCATTATATGGTATTCCTTTTTCTAAAATGTCCCTGGCCCAAGCCTAGGGAATTGAAATTGCTGCGTATCCTGATTCCTGACACCCACCTGGTGTGACAGTTCCACAGAGTAAGGTGTATCCCATCATGATACAGAGTACTTAGGTTCATAAATGGTTGGCTAAAATAAAGGATATTATGTAGGATCCCATGGCAAGGGTCCACAACTTACACTGGTTCTAAATGCATTGTTTCCCCCCAGGGTTTGGCATCTTTTCATCATTTAACTGATAAGTTCGCAAGGGAGCTTTGATGGTCAAGACCACAGAGATTCAGCCTCTGTGGTATACATATCGAATTCTGCCTTTTCCCACTCTGGGTGGTAGTAAGTTGCCCAAGATTCATTCATTAAATAGGGCATATATTCCCATATTGTGGTATTTTCATTAAAAATAAAGGACAAATTTACCAAAGATATGAAAAATTTCAGCCCTTTCTCAGAAGATGAAGGATATGCAATACACAGGCCTTGGTCCAAAGAGTTCCACATTTGGGGAAAACCTTGAATCAGTTCCCATGCAAGATTAGGACTGCTACTTTGCAGTCAATACTCCCAGGAGACAAATGATCCCTCATGAACATTTTACAAACTTTTTTTCCTAAGTAACAAAAGTAGCTGTTTAAAATGCTGGCTTTTTTGTTGTGTTGTTCATTTTTTAAAGTGAAAAATATCCATGAAGTGGGAAAAAGAAGAATTATTACCTTCTATTACCTACTCCTTCACAATATTTTTTTTCAATTGCATGAATCCGGTTTTATACTGTAAAAGACTTACTTCCTTGATTAAGATTATTCATAATCTTTTCTGAGGCACAGATAAACATAATTTATTTTTATTATATGTTATCTTTGAATGAATACTCTTGACTCCTCGGGAGCAGGGTCCTGAACGTTAAGAGGGCGTGTATCTTTTTCCACAGGAGCAGTCCCACTCGAAGTCAGGGCACTTAGGGACTGGAGCAGTGCTCTCCAGGCGAGCAGTTGAAGTCAAAAAGACATATGTAAGGACATTAATTTACCGTAAGGTGGCACTGTTATTTCACGTATAAATTACTTGAATCGTTTTCCTTAAGTTTCGTAGAGCATGTTTTTTTTTTTCCTTTCAGGGTGTAGACGGGTGGGGAACGTGTGTGACCGAGGGCTTCAGTGTTGTGCTACCCAGAGTGGCTAATGAATGCTACCACGTGATTTTTAGGCCTTGGAAGCAGGGATCTGTGTAAAACTTGTGAATTTTCTCTGACTGGCCCAATACTGACTGTAGGGGAAAGTAATTTAATAATCAAACCTATGCATAGCAAAGCAGTTCATCTTTACGAAAACCGAATATACCCAGATTTTACAGAGAACTGCTTCCCAGCCGAGGACGCCGATTTCTAAGCGTACTCTTGAGGAAGGCACCTGCTGCCGACCTGACTTCTGGGACGTCCTCCACCACCCGACGCGAAGCAGTACAGCAGAGAGCGAGGAGCGCGGTGCCCCTCAGCACCTCCCACGGCGGGGGAGTGCCAGCCCACCTCGCAGAGCTACCCCAGGACCACGGAGGGGCAGCTCCTACCGCCAGTGGGAAAGAGCCCCGTAACCGTAGCCTCTCCACAGTAACCACTAAAGACCGTCTGACCTCTCTTCCCACAACAAACCCAGCACTGGAACAAACCTCACCCACCACAACCCAGCTCCCGCCTCTTCTCCTCCGGCAAGCACCGCCTTCCTCCCATGCCAGTCTTCCGCACTTTACGGCCGGCGCCTTCACTTCACGACAGCACAGAGGAAGCGGGAATGGGAACCGCCGCGTAAGGGGAGGGGCGGGTATTGGGGAAAAAAGCGCACCACCCGGCCGCACTTTGCGGCCAAGCGAGGGGCAC